CCTTGTTAACTGTTTCTTGCATTTTGTCCATTCTATTTCCAAGATTTCGGATCATCCTTACTATCATTATTCTGAATTCTTTTTCAGGTAGACTGCCTATTTCCTCTTCATTTGTTAGGTCTGGTGCATTTTTATCTTGCTCCTTTATCTGCTGTGTGTTTTTCTGTCTTCTCATTTTGCTTATCTTACTGTGCTTGGGGTCTCCTTTTTGCAGACTGCAGGTTCGTAGTTCCCGCTGTTTTTGATGTCTGTCTCCAATGGCTAAGGTTGGTTCAGTGGGTTGTGTCAGCTTCCTGGTGGAGGGGACTAGTGCCTGTGTTGTGGTGGATGAGGCTGGATCTTGTCTCTCTAGTGGGCAGGTTCACGTCTGGTGGTGTGTTTTGGGGTGTCTGTGGCCTTATTATGATTTTAGGCAGCCTCTCTGCTAATGGGTGGGGTTGTGTTCCTGTTTTGCTAGTTGTTTGGCATAGGTTGTCCAGCACTGTGGCTTGCTGGTCATTGAGTGAAGCTGAGTGCTGGTGTTAAGATGGAAGTCTCTGGGAGATTTTTGCCATTTGATATTATGTGGAGCTGGGAGGTCTCTTTTTGACCAGTGTCCTGAAGTTGGCTCTCCTACCTCAGAGGCAGAGCCCTGACTCCTGGCGGGAGCACCAAGAGCCTTTCATCCACACAGCTCAGAATAAAAGGAAGAAAAAGTAGAGAGAATTATTATAAGTATGAGGAAAGAAAGAAGGAAAGGAGGGAAGGAAGGAAGGAAGAAAGAAAGAAAGAAGGAAAGAAGGAAAGAAGGGAGGGAGAGAGGGAGGGAGGAAGGAAGGAAGGAGGGAAAGAAGGAAAAAAGAAAGAAAGAAGATACAGTAAAAATAAAATAAAGTATAATAAAGTTATTGAATTAAAAAATTCTTATTTAGAAAAAAAAATAGGGACGGATAGAAGCTTAGGACAAATGTTGGAAGCAAAGCTATACAGACAAAATCTTACACAGAAGCATACACATACACCCTCACTAAAAGAGGTAAAAGGGGAAAAATCATAAATCTTGCTGTCAGAGACCACCTCCTCAATTTGGGATGATTCGTTGTCTAAAGGAGGGAAGGAAGGAAGGAAAGAAAGAAAGAAAGAACGAAGGTAAAATATAATAACGTTATTAAAATTAAAATTAATTATTAAGAAAAAAAATTAAAAAAAAACCATGGACGGATAGAACCCTAGGACAAATGGTGGAAGCAAGACTATACAGACAAGATCTCACACAGAAACATACACATATACATTCACAAAAAGAGGAAAGGGGAAAAAAATATCATAGATCTTGCTCCTAAAGTCCACTTCCTTAATTTGGGATGATTGGTTGTCTATTCAGGTATTCCACAGATGCAGGGTATATCAAGTTGATTGTGGAGCTTTAATCCGCTGCTTCTGAGGCTGCTGGAAGAGATTTCCCTTTCTCTTCTTTGTTCTCACAGCTCACAGGGGCTCAGCTTTGGATTTGGCCCTGCCTCTGCGTGTAGGTCGCTGGAGGGCGTCTGTTTTTTGCTCAGATAGGACGGGGTTAAAGGAGCCACTGATTCGGGGGCTCTGGCGCACTCAGGCCTGCGGGGAGGGAGGGGCACGGAGTGCGGGGCGGGCCTGCGGCGGCAAAGGCCGACGTGACTTTGCACCAGCCTGAGGCCCGCCGTGCGTTCTCCCGGGGAAGTTGTCCCTGGATCCCGGGAACCTGGCAGTGGCGGGCTGCACAGGCTCCGCGGAAGAGGGGTGTGGAGAGTGACCTGTGCTCGCACACAGGCCCCTTGGTGGCGGCAGCAGCAGCCTTAGCATCTCCCGCCCGTCTCTGGGATCCGCGCTTTTAGCCACGGCTCGCGCCCGTCTCTGGGGTTCGTGCTTTTAGCCGCGGCTCGCGCCCGTCTCTGGAGTTCCTTTAAGCAGCGTTCTTAAACCCCTCTCCTCACGCACCAGGAAACAAAGAGGGAAGAAAAAGTCTCTTGCCTCTTCGGCAGGTGCAGACTTTTCCCCGGACTCCCTCCCGGTTAGCCGTGGTGCACTAACCCCTTCAGGCTATGTTCAAGCCGCCAACCCCAGCCCTCTCCCAGCGCTCCGTCCGAAACCGAAACCCGAGCCTCAGAGCCTCAGCTCGCAGCCCCGCCCGCCCCAGCGGGTGAGCAGACAAGCCTCTCGGGCTGGTGAGTGCCGGTCGGCACCGATTCTCTGTGCGGGAATCTCCCCGCTTTGCCCTCCGCACCCGTTGCTGTGCACTCCTCCGCGGCTTCGAAGCTCCCCCCTCTGCCTCCCGCAGACTCCGCCCGCGAAGGGGCTTCCTAGTGTGTGGAAACTTTTCCTCCTTCACAGCTCCCTCCCACTGGTGCAGGTGCCGTCCCTATTCTTTTGTCTCTGTTTTTTCTTTTGCCCTACCCAGGTACGTGGGGAGTTTCTTGCCTTTTGGGAGGTCTGAGGTCTTCTGCCAGCCTTCAGTAGGTGTTCTGTAGGAGTTGTTCCACGTGTAGATGTATTTCTGGTGTATCTGTGGGGAGGAAGGTGATCTCCGCGTCTTACTCTTCCGCCATCTTCCTCTCCATTCTCTAACTGATATATTTTTACTAAAAAATAAAAATCCAGTGATATTCATGTTGAGAGGAATACCACTCCTCTGGAAAAGCCATGTTCACTAGTAGGTTGAGGGTATAGAACATGCTGGTTAAAGAAGTGTTCTTATTGGCTTTGGTTAAACCACCTAGCTTTAGGGAGGGGCCATGAAAATCTGCTTCTGCTGTGAGATTTGAAGCATTCCTATTTCCAGTAAGCCCATCCCATTTTATTGCATCTCCAAGAGAAACTGTATGTTAATAACACTTAGCTGTGGTGTTGGTCTTAGTGACTAGGCAGAAAGTGGAAAGGAAAACGTTAGGAAAGAAGTCTGGATACCTGCAATGGACTAAGCATTGAGCTACACAGTTCACATTCATCTCATTTTATCTTTACTTCGTCCTTATGAGCTAGGTGTCCTCAATACCATTTTACAGAGGAGGAAACTAATGATTAGATAATTTAAGTAATTTGTCCAAGGCTACATAATAATTCAGTAGCAGATATGGAATTTGAACCCGGGATTATCTAACTCAAAAGTAATGCATTTATAGAATGATGTATATAGTGGGAGTAGAGGGTGAGAACACATCATATGCCTGTTTCTAGAGCTCTCTGGTTGATTAAATAACTCATGATACTATAAATACTGACTACTTACTTTTAGATAATAATAAAGCTTGTAGCACAATTTACATATTTGATGAATAAAACACAATTAGAAAAGTAAATAATTTAAATATGATGTATTCTTAAATACAAATTACAAAGAAGTTTGAATTGCCTTTTGTTTTGGATTTTTATGCTAGTAATTTCTTCCATTAAAAAGGATAAGTGAGAGCTAAGGAATTTATGACAAATTACAACAAAGATTGATAAGTGTAACTTTAGGGAACTAGGCTGTCTCCAAAATACTAGTTACTCAGAGGCATTACGTGCTCATAAGAAGAAGGACTTCACATTATCATGTGTTCACATTTTTATACCACTGCTTCCCCACCTATATATGCTATGCTATTGAGGGGTTTTATTTATTTTTATTTTTTATATTAATTAATTTATTTATTTATTTTTAGCTGTGTTGGGTCTTCGTTTTGGTGCACAGGATTCTCACTGTGGTGGCTTCTCTGATTGCGGAGCATGGGCTCTAGGCATGCGGGCTTCAGTAGTTGTGGCACGTGGGCTCAGTAGTTGTGGCTTGCGGGCTCTAGAGCACAGGCTCGGTAGTTGTTGCGCATGGGCTTAGTTGCTCCACGGCATGTGGGGTGTTCCTGGACCAGGACTCGGACCCGTGTCCCCTGCATTAGCAGGCGGATTCTTAACCACTGTGCCACCAGGAAAGCCCCACTGAGGGGTTTTAGTATAAAATTCACTGTGTTGTGTGAGGAAGTTTTTGGAAGCTTGTCCTATAAAATGAAACAAAATACATAATGTGGGTCTAAGATATATTCATTTAGACAGCCAAACACCATGTTAGAAATTTCAAAAGAGCTTAGGGAAGTTTGTTTTTGGTTTTTGACTAAGAGTTTTGGAAGGTGAGTCAGTAGTGTATTACATATGTTTTGTTAAGGATGTATTAAGAATGAATTACACTGTCCTCTGGTTTCCTTCTTTCTATCATTTCTACCTCTCTCTCTTTTTTTTTTGGTAAAAATATAGCATCTTTTTGTTTGTTTGTTTTTTCCCCTTCTTCTGGGGTTAGCATTAGAGGCTTATTTTGGAATATGCAGCTGCTGTCACTCCTCCTGAGACTGTCAAGTACTCAATTAGTGACAGATGTTTAGAGTGACATTGTCTAGCATACATGATTTCTACAGCTCAAGTCTGAGGTTTCTTTCACCAGAGTCACTCTTGCCACCCATCCTTATTTCCAGAAACTTTCCTTGACGTGTATTTTGTGTCAAGTACTATGTTAAGTGCCAGAGCACACCTATAGGTCAGAGTTCCTATGCTAGAAGTACTCATCATCCACAGGAATAGAAAGACAACCTTACCTCTTCGAGCCTACTGCCATGAAATTTAAAAGCAACAATACTTTGGCAAATAACACATTTTCTAAGTAGCTTAATCCTTAAACAAAACTCACGTGACAGTAACGATAGGTGACAATGTTTTTGAACACTTAATTTTTGTGAAAAATCATTCAAAATGGAACTTAGCTACTTTTAAATAAAATGTCAACTATAATTGTAAATCACTTGCTTTTATGGAATTATAGACAGTCCTCTATGACATCTGTTTCTAGGCAGAAGTTTCTATTTTTTAATTTTTCTATTAAGAATTTTTAAGCAGTCTTTTCTGGCGGCTATTTTTCTGATTTTGAATATTCTTAGCAATTTGAGGTAATATAGTCTAACCAAAATACACACGGATGCCTGCTTTGTGATATTTAAATCTGTGTTGTTTGTTTTTCATTTCAGGAAGCAGAAGCTCAGGCAAAGCAGCAAGCATGAACCTTAAACATTCTGCCTTAAGCATCCTGACAAAGGAGTCTCCACTGCTTTTTATAAAATAGCAAAATTATCTTGGCTTCAAAAGAAATAGGCTTAATGTTGAAATAATAGATAGTTGTTGTTTTCACATGCAAACAATCAAAATGAATACATAATTAAAATGTGAACATTATGATGAGGAGAATGGGAGATGAACTTAAAATTTTAAGAGGTGTCATGGAATAGTATTGTTGTCTGCTAAGGCATTTTATGTACTTCAGTGATTTTAAAAAGCAAACACCTGTTCCCTTTTTTGATATTATTATTGCAGCTTAAGTATATCTGTAACTCTACATTAAGTAACTTTAAAAGATGAGTGAGAAAGAAAGAATCTGTCTCTTGTTCCCAAATTGCCTCAATTTTAGTGAACAAAAATATGTACCTTTTTGATGTGGAATTATTGTGATTAAAAAGTAGTTGCAGATAATGTTTATGATATGTCAGATATTGTAATTTCTGATGGTAATTATAACATTTACATTCTTTTGTAGTTAAAACTTCTATGTACTGAACCACAGGTTTTCTAGGCTTCTAAATGTAGCCTTTCATTGCATGTTTCAGTGATCGGAACAGATGACCTCCCACCAAAATAAAGATGTATTCAGTTGACAAATTTCTTGCTTAACTACACAGCTATGATGCAATCATGTTACTAAGTTGCTTGCCCCAGTGAAATATGCATACGTATGCTATGGAAGTATGATGGCAAATAAGTTAAAAATGGCATCCTTTTGCAAAGAGTTCAGACTTTTTTTTTTTTTTTTTTTTTTTTTTTGTGGTACGTGGGCCTCTCACTGTTGTGGCCTCTCCCGTTGCGGAGCACAGGCTCCAGACGCGCAGGCTCAGTGGCCATGGCTCATGGGCCTAGCCACTCTGCGGCATGTGGGATCTTCCCGGACCGGGGCACGAACCCATGTTCCCTGCATCGGCAGGCGGACTCTCAATCACTGCGCCACCAGGGAAGCCCCAGAGCTCAGACTTTTAATTAAATATTTTAAAATAGGTTGGAACTCATTTTTCCCCTTTTAAAACCACTTGTGATCACGAATGCCACTATCTCTCAGATATTTGATCTTTTGGTTTCAGCTTAGGCATATATTGTATGAGTACATTAATCTAAGCAGAGAAAATCTTTTCTATGCCTCTATTCCAGTGAATAGCGTAAGTATCAGATAAAAGGATCAATTTAAAAAATGTTAATTTTGAAAACTTCTAAGAAGATAAGAAACATTATGGCCTAAATCACCCAGAAGACACATATATTGTACTTTAGTTCCACATTAATATTGTACTTTAGTTTCACATTACTAAAAGCAAACACCTTTTACTTTAAATTACTTTATCATATCATTTGATGTATGCAAGTCTGTGCTCTTTGCCAAAATCAATATACAATGAAGACATGGCTTTGTTTACTGAGATTCAAACATGATGCAATGCTTTAAAATAAACTCAGTACTGTCAGAAACATAATTTTTGTGTTCGTGTTCATGGAGTTTCTAAATAGTGTAATAATAATTTTAGAAGGGTAATATATTTTTTAGATGGTGGGGAAGGAGAAAAGAGAAAATAATAGAAAGAAAACAATTTGAATAAACTTTCTAAATTTCCTATTTAGGACTCTGAATTTTGCAATACACACTAGAATCAAACAACTAATCCATTTTTTTGTGTACAAAAATATGCTATGGAGAACTCTAAAGTAAACAAGGTATCTTGTAATAAATTCTGGAAAATGCTAAAACATTTTTCAATATTTTCTCCTGAGCTATATCAAATGCAGATGATGATACTTGCAATATTTTATGTGGGCATTTTTACTTTAATATCAAATAAGTTAACACTGTCAAAAATAGACATTCTTTAAAAACAGATGACATTTTTGAGATGTGTATATCTACTAGACTATACCTTACAATTAGCATATATGTATATTTAAAGTAAAATGTTTTATTGAGTCTTGCCAAATTGAAATCTTTCTTTTTGTCAGCTGAATACTATATGTCCTGTAGATACAAGAAAAGCAAGTGAAATTCTGAATATTAGAGAGCTGCCTTCAAGGCTATGCTGAGGCCCCCCCCCCCACTTTTTAAAATTTTTATTTTATTTATTCATTTTTTGTCTGTGTTGGGTCTTCATTGCTGCACATGGGCTTTCTCTAGTTGTGAGCGGGGGCTACTCTTTGTTGTGGTGCACGGGCTTCTCATTGCAGTGGCTTCTCTTGTTGCAGAGCACAGGCTCTAGGTGTGTGGGCTTCAGTAGTTGTGGCTCATGGGCTCTAGAGCGCAGGCTCAGTAGTTGTGGCACGTGGGCTTAGTTGCTCTGCAGCATGTGGGATCTTCCCGGACCAGGGATCAAACCTGTGTCCCCTGCATTGGCAGGTAGATTCTTATCCACTGTGCCACCAGGGAAGACCCTGAGGCCTCTTTTAAGAAGGACTAAAGATGTTGCACTGTCCTAAAGACACACTAAACTCCAAGAGATAGTAGGAAGCTGCAATAACTAAGCCAGTGAAACCAGTACACAAGCCTGAAAGCAAAGCAGCGGGAAGGTGGGGTTTGGGTCTCTGGTATTCCATGAGCAGCAGAGCCCCTGCTTTCCTAGATTGCTCTTGATTCAACTTTCTGAGGTTGGGAGTGTATACTCATTTTCTGAGATACCTACTCCCCAAAGTCTCCACCTCCATCGGTGTGCTGGTCTGCTCTGTTCCCTCCAATTACCAAGCAGCACACTAAGCAGGGTAGTAGCATGGTTCCCCACTGTTAAAGCTCTCTTGGTTTCCAGAACCAAGAAACAAGAAGCTTTAGAAACAGCTTCATTAGTAGTAGTAGTAGTAGTATTTAGGGAACAATATATAACCATCTACTTGTATGTATGAAATTAAACCAATATAGATACAGATGTGTGTGTGTGTATGTATATGTGTGTATATATATATATGTATGTATATGTGTATATATATATATATATATATATATATATATATATATATATATTCACACAGCACCATCTACTATGACTGTTGGAGTATGTTAGGGAGTTAAGCAGGATTGCAAAATTCTTTTTGCTCTACTAAGGTTTTCCAGAAATGCCTATAAGGGAAGAGGTTTTTGGAAGCAGGGAGAAAAATTCCTAACTTCCTCCTGACAGGCAGGAACCCCAGGATTGAATGGAATTCCTTGTATCACGTGACTATTCTAGCTGGTGTGGGAAATGCCTTCATTTCCTAATGGCTCATTCAAGCTTCCAGATTATGGAACCTAGTGGTGATCATGCAAGAAGTATCTGGAGAGCGGGAGCAGGCATCTTACTCTGCTAGGCAGCCTTTTAAATTAAGATTATTTTCAGCATAAGATGACAGACCACTAAGCGTTTCTCCCATCCCACTTCTGTCACTTGTACTAGAAGAAGTGCTCTTCAGTCCCCTTGTTATGACACCCCATAACCTTTATGCTTCATTTTTTAAAACCACTATATGAAATATAAAGGGGATTCCTCTGGACAAAAAAAAAGGATCTAAAAACCCTGCAATTGAGGGGTCTTATATGCAAAGGGATAAATATTAGTACCCCAAGGAAGAGGACTGTATAAATACAGAGGGGTTTTATATGCATATTAACCTTATTTATAATTTTGGGTCTCTTTATTTCTTCCTGTGGAATTAAGTTAACATCTGGTGTCATTTCTTATTCCAGTATAGCTATATGCCCTTAGGACAACTTCCAGAACTTTCAGTTACTTTTGAATTTTCTTCAGTCAAATTGCTGTTTTGATGGGGGAATTTCTGCCATACTCCTTACTACACCATTACAAAAGCACAGCATGATTGTTTTTCATGATAAAATATATCTCATTTTCTCATTTCCTCCACAAGTTAAAACATTTTAACATTAGTTTTCTTTGGCTCTAACATGCTTGGAATGTACATGGAAATATAGTATGCCTTCAGTCCCTCCAACCTATCATGCCATGGGATTTATGAGAAAAATAAGTTTCCTCAAAGTTTTAGCAAAATGACACAGCCTTGAAAGTAGGTGATCTTCCTAGGTTTCTTATTAAAATATACTGTGGGAAGGTTAACCTCATGACCAAAGTTAAAAATGAAAGGACAAAGAAAAGGTCTCAATTTCAGAAATTGTTCAAGTCATTGAGATTCTTGAAGACCTTGAGTTATTAATTCATATTACTACTGGAGTAATTAATTTACATTACTGCTGAATTAATGTAGGAGAAGAGACAGAGAGACAGAAGTGGGTACTTGTTTTAGCAACTTAATTTCTACTCTCCCACTTTTAAGTAAAGAAAAAAGAGCTACAGAGCATATAGAGCACCTTTTCCTTCTTCACTTTTTTCTTCACTTGAATCCTAATTATTTAGATTGTGACTGGGCATAGTGAAGGCTGTGAATCAACTCTGGGCATTCTGCTAGGTCATATGCCTACATAATTTTACTTAATCTTCACAACAGTCATGAGAAGTAGGTGTAATGGTTAAATTTATGTGTTAATTTGGCTAGGCTAAAATTCCCAGATATTTGGTCAAACACCAGTCTAGATATTGCTGTGAAAGTATTTTTTTAGATGTGGTCAACATTTAAATCAACAGACTGAGTAAAACAGGTCACACTCCATACTGTGGGCAGACCTTTTCCAATTAGTTGAAGGCTTTAAGAGAAAAAGATCTAGACCTCCTGAGGAAGAAGGAATTATGCCTCCTGACTGCCTTTGGAATCAAGATTGCAACGTCAACTGTTGCTGGAATTTCCAGCTTGCTGTCCTGCTTTGCAAATTTCAAACTTTCAGACTTGCCAACTACTACAATCACATGAACCAATTATTTTAAATGGATGTATGTGTTTTTTCTATTGGTTCTGTTTCTCTGGAGAACCCTAACTAATACAGTAGATATTATTATCTCCATATTTTTTATGGAAAAACTGAAGTTCTATAACTTGCTTGGGTCACACAGCTGGGAAATGGTAGTTACCTAAGTCTTAGTAACTCTAACATCTGTAGTTTTTCGTCACCCTAAAAATTATCATGAAAGGAATCTTCATTTTCTGCCCATCTCTACTCTTAGGGCCCATATATGAAATAAATACATTTCTGAAAAATTGACTATAAAGTCAAATTCTGGGGCTTGAATACTTTTGTAAAATTTACTTACATTTAAAAATTAAATCCTGGTCCTACTGAATATTGCTGTTGCTATGACAGCATAAAGTCTGAGCTGTGAAATGGAATTCTGAGGCAAACACATGCAAGCAATTTAGAAAAACAAAGAGGAAGTATAGATTTTACTTCAATGATTTTGCTTGTCCAATTTAAATCTGTCTCCACTCACAAAGCATTTTGATTCTTATGCTGACTTTATCAGCTCACTCAGGTGAAAAAGTCAAATAAGGTATTGGATTGACAGCTTCTGGCCTGACTTCAATTGATTAAGTCAGTCAAAATAAGCAGGTTTGTTCGTATAGATGGAGCTTGGGATAAATTATGGATAATTCCATTTCTTTTCATTTTACTCTCAATAGAGGAAACATATGCAAATCACATGTGGTTTTAGCTATTTCTAAGTATTAGTAAAATATTAAGTGAAAGCATTGGAGAAGACTGTGCATTAAATTTATAATAACTAGCTTGAAGTGGAGGTGGGAAAAACCACAAAGTAAGCACCTGGTATAGTGACTGACACCTCAGCAAGTGGTACATCAGTCTACGTAGCTGATGGCAAATAGCCT